TCACTTGAGCAACCTGCCCGAACCAAAAACTCTTGGAGTCATCCTCACCTCTTACTCTCCAAATCCACATCACACAACCTGTAATTCTTATCAGCACTAACTTCAAAAGATATCCAGAATCTAACCCTTATCAACTCCACTGAAATCACTCTCATCCAAGCCCCTATCATTTTCACTTAAGATACCCTATACTCTCTTCTCAACACAGAAACCAAAGTGAGCACTTTACAATCTACAGGAGAGAAAAACAAGAGGTTCTTTAGTGCTGTGTGTAAAGCCACACAGAAAACCTGAGTGATGGGGACATTCTGTATCTTAACTGCAGTGGTAGTTTCATTAAGTGAGTAAAATTGAAACTGCACACAATTGTACACTTCAAATGGTTCAGTTCATTATACATAAATTAAGCCTCAAAGTTATTATTTAAAAAAAAAAAAAAAGACACCATGCCCACACAGACTCCTTCAATGGTCTCCCATTTCACACAGAGTAAAAGCCAATGAGGTTCTCCAATCACCTCTGAATGATGTACTACTCCTATTCCTACTCGTTCCCTCCAGCTATACTGGCCTCCCCACTTTCAAACACTCCTGGTATATTCCCACCTCCAAATGGTATACTTCATCTCTCCTCTGGCTAAAATGCTCATTCCTCAACAACTGGATAGTTCACATCCTTTTTATGGTCTTAAGAGTTTTGCTAATTTGTCTCATCGTGTCTCTTCTGCTGGGGTGCAAGCCTGGTTTCTCTTTTGTTCATGGATAAACATCAGCATCTAGCTCACAGTAGGTATGCGTTATTTTTTATTATTATTATTATGCATTTGAAAGGCAGAGAGAAGGGGCAGAGAGGAAGGGAGGGAGGAACAAGTGAGAGACGTAGAGGAGAGAGAGAGGGAGCCAAATATCCATCTGCAGGTTCACTCCCAAAATGTACACAACAGCCAAGACTGGAACAGGCCAAAGCTAGGAATTCCATTCAGGTCTCCCACATGGGTGGCAGAAACCCAGCTATTTGAGATATCACCTGCTACCTCAAAGGGTGCACATTAGCAGGAACAATAGTGGGACAGGGGTGGGAGATTACTTGTACCTAGCCACTCTGATATGGGGTGCAGGTATTCCAAGTGTGGTGACTTCACCACTGTGCGTTCACACCCTCCCCCTTGACATTTAAAGGAATGAACAAATTAGCCTTAATGCCAAACTCAGATTCTGGTGACATCTTACCTTTTTTAAAAAAAGATTTCAGGGGCCAATGGTGTGGTAAAGCCGCCACCTACAGTGCCAGCATCCCATATGGGCACCAGTTCGAATCCCAGATGCTCCATTTCTGATCGAGCTCTCTGCTATGGACTGGGAAAGCAGTGGAAGATGGCCTAAGTCCTTGGGCCCCTGCACACACATGGGAGACCTGGAAGAAGCTCCTGGCTCCTGGCTCCCAACTGGCCCAGCTCTGGCTGTTGCAGCCATTTGGGAAGTGAACCAGTGCATGGAAGACACAAGAACCCTTTCTCTCTCTCTCTCCTGCTCAACTATGCCTTTCAAATATATAAATCTTACAAAAATAAATAAGAAAAAAAGAAAAACTTCAAACTACTGCATCAGCAACCTATGCTCACAAACTTAGAAGGAGGACTTCAACTATCAGTGCAGAGCAAAGCCCAATCAGAAAACTTTTTGAAGTGGTAAGGACATTCTGTATCTGAACGATGGTGATGTCAAGTATGCCTTAATTTCCATTTATTCCACAAGCACAATCCAGCATTGATTATTTTTTCTTGGTTCATTCAATTCGATGACCTTATAAATTACATTTCCTAGAGTCTAGTCTAACCTAGACTTAGAATGTATCACATAAAAATGAAACACTAGGGGCTGGCAGTGTGGTGTAATGAGTAAAGCCGATGCATGTGACACTGGCATCCCATACGGGTGCCAGTTTGAGTCCTGGCTGTTCCACTTCTGATCCAGTTCCCTAAGGCACCTGGGAAAGCAGCAGAGGTCGGCCCAAGTGTTTGAGACCTTACACCCATGTGGGAGACAGGGATGAAGCTCGAAGTTCCTGGCTCCTGGCTCTAACCTGGCCCAGCCCTGTCAGATGTGATCATTCTGAGAGTGAACCAAAGGATGGTTCACATGTTCCCTACACACATTCCTCCCCTGACTCTTGTTTTCCAAATATATAAATTTAAAAAAAAAAAAAAAAAAGGAAAAAAAAAAACACTCTCAATCTTCTTTATTAGTAAGTGGCTATAATATTTTACCAATCAATTTACATGGCATTATCCAGAAAAAAAAAAAAAAAACATTATTTGAACATTTCAAACATTTCATTGGCTTTGAAATGAAAAATTTGATGCTTTATTCTGTATTGAAAATACATTACCTAGAAACTATGCTGGGCAATGTGAGGCAGACCAATGAACAAATAAGAAACACTTCCACCATAAAGCTGGAAGGTACTGGCAAAGATTACCTTATTTTCTACTAACTATAAGTTCCAGATATGCGTGGAGACTGAAAGAAGTGAATACAGCACATAATGGGGATGAAACTTAAGAACTAAAAGGAGTCCAATGCTCTAATTCCACAAATGAGAAAACCATAGGGCAGAAAAGCGGTCCGAGTCCAGTCTTACTCCAGTATATAATATGCCCCAAAATTTCTAAAAAGTTCAAACCAAAGGCTTTATATTCATTTTAATGGTAAACATGGCAACTACTTGCTTTATAACAATACAAGTTATTTTGAAATAACAGCATAAGATTTTGTGATTTGAGTTTAGAAATGGACTCTGAAAGTCAGAATACATTTTTTGTAAACCTAAGTATATACATATGTGTATATAGAAGTTGAAGAAAAGGAATACTTACAGTACTATGAAAAACAACACTGTGGCCTTTCCCTAAACTTTCTATATGAGCTGAGAGGTTAAAGCAAATGGCTCGATGTCTTATCGCATCCAGTGTTTGTGCATCGAAGAAATCATGTGGTCGCGCTAAAAGCCAACACAAAAAAGATAGAGATTACTTAGAAAAATGTTAACAGTCTTCTGAACATAGAAACAGTATATTTTCCACAAAAATCAGTACTGAGTAGGAAAGACTAATTGTAAACAAGCAATGCCCAAGTATCTATCTTCTCTTTAAATTTAAAATACTATTTGCTTTCAAAGCACAGACTAGCTCACTGGTCAAAAGCAGAAGTGAACTCAAGGAGTGAATGAAGGTTAACTCCACCCCTTAGCACAAGACACTCTAACCTCAGAGCTCATCATTCCACATTTCACTGTTTCATTTTTTAACCCTTTACTCCAACATCTCTTAGCACCAGTCCTGCATTTACCCCAATGTGATCAACATCTCCATCTGTGTGATATTGAAGTTTCACCAGTCAAAAATATTAAATACGAACATTCTATATTAATACATAATCAAAGTATTTCCAAGTACTATTATTGAGCTTTTTGAAGAATACTTCCCAATTGTGAAGAAACCTAACACAATGGAAGAAAATGACAAAAACTTTTTAAGATTTATTTGAAAGTCAGGGTTACACAGAGAGAGCAGAAGCAGAGAGAGAGGAGAAGCAGAGAGAGAGAGAGAGAGAGAGAGAGAGAGAGAGAGAGAGAGAGAGAGAGAGAGAGAGATCTTCCATCCACTGGTTCACTCCCCAAATTGGCCTCAACGGCCAGAACTGCACCAAACCGAAGCCATGAGCCAGGAGCTTCTTCCGTGTCTCCCACGTGGGTGCAGAAGCCCAAGGCCTTAGGCCATCTTCTTACTGCTTTCCCAAGCCATAGAAGAGAGCTTGATCAGAAGTGGGGCAGCCGAGTCTCGAAGCAGCGCCCATATGGGATGCCAGCGCTTTAGGCCAGGGCGTTAACCCGCTGTGCCACAGATCTGGCCCCAACAAAAGCATTTTTGAATGGCAGTGAACCCTATTTTAACTCCCTATACTCAGCCAATTCGCAGCTGTGCAACTAGACCTGAACTGCTCAAGCTACATTAGATTATATTTATAAAAGGGAAATATCACACCCACTGCAGAATGATCAAATAAAACAGATGCATATGAAAAGTACCTTCTAATCCATAAAGCAGTTTATATAAGTTAATCTAACTTCTACAAATAATAAACTGTTTCACAGAGTAGGTAATCATTTAGTATATACAACTAAACTATACACTGAAAATTTCATTTGGTGAGAAAACTTTTCAAAGTTTACTTTTTATCTGCTATAAATTGTGCTATTATTATCCCTAATGAGAACACCGCTCAGAATAAAGAAAATGAATATTTTATTTTATGCTTGTGGACGTTGTCGATACATGTAATCTGTAAAATCTGCAACTAAAATTAAATTTACTAACAGAAGAACAGCTTGACTTCCTAGAAGAGCACATTCTGCACAACACATGTGACTGACCACACCGATGCTACTCAATGCTGCTCTTAAGAGAACTGGGGTAGCCAATGAACCAGCAGATGCATTCAATAGAATACCCCTAAGTAGCATTCTCTTGAGATATTTTTTCCTCAAGAAATAAGCAAAATACCTAGTAATAAACTTGTGGAACCCTCAACAACAGTGGGAAATCAGAAAGAAAATATTTGGCCTTCGGGGAACATGGTAGATGATTTTACCAGATGCAGAGGAACACATCCCCTTTCCATTAGATCTGTGGCTTTTGGGAAAACAAGCATAGTTTATCCATGCTTTCCCAATGCACACTTTTTCCTTAGAAGTACTTTGAGAAAACTTATCCCTCTAAATCAATCACTCCTCATGTAAGATGTAAAAAGAACAGTCAACACTGAATTTCACAATCAGGAATGCCTTCACATCCACTACCTCCACTGTTAGAATAAACATCAACAAATCAAACTAGGGAATGGGCATTAGCCACAAATCCCTGGCAAATAGTGCGGAAGGATTCAGTGCCAGTTTTGCAACCAATTCTAGTTTCCTGCTAATAATGTGTGCCCTGGAAGGCAGCAGGTGATGGCTCGATTACTTAGGTCCCTGCCACCCACATAGGAGACCTAGACTGAGTTTCAGGCTCCTGGATTCAGCCTCACCCAGCATCAGCTGTTGTGAACATTTGAGGAATCAACCTGAGGATGGAAGATCTTTCTTTGCTTGTCTGTCTCTCTTTCAAATAAAAACGAATATAATTATTTTTAAAAAGAAAGCCAAATTAGAATAAGCAGTCTCCCAAAGTGTTTTGCCATGATGCAATAATAATAAGAAAAGAGGGGCTAGAGTTGCAGTGCATTAAGCTGCCGCCTCCAACACCAGCATCGTTTATGAGCGCGCCAGTAGAATTCCCAGCTGTTCCACTTCCGATCCAGAAATCAGCAGGAAATGATCCAAATTCTTGAGAACCTACTGCCCCACACGGAGTTCCAGGCTCCTGGCTTCAGCCTAGCCCAGTCCCAGGTGGCACCACCACTTGAAGAGTGCACCAGCAGAAGCAATATCTGTCTCTTCTCTTTGCACTATTCCTTCTCAGTAATTATTTTATAATGTATATCAGTACTACTACCTGCAATGGATCAATTATATGTTAAGAAGGCATGCCCAAGCATTTTTTAACTGACAGAATACAAAATAAAAAACCTTTAGAAACCATAAAAATAAAGACTCTTTTCCTATAGCTCAAAAATCCTACCTGGTATGTGATTACTTTTCTATTAGGTTTAATGATGATGTGGGGTTATACAGAAAAAAATTTTTATTCTAGGTACATTAAGAACTTTGGATTTAGGAAAAAAAAAAAGCATATCAAGAGAGAGAGCCAATGTGCCATACTGGGAAATCTCAAGTAAAAAGTGTTCACTGTACTATTCTTGCAACAGCTAAGTATGTCAAAATTTTAGAAAAACTTTCCACATTTTTTTTAAAGATTTATTTATTTGCTTGAGAGGCATAGTTACAGACAGAGGGAGAGACAGAGGTCTTCCATCCACTGGTTCACTCCCCAGATGGAACACAAATGGCCAGAGCTGGATCAATTAGAAACCAGGAGCCAGGAGCTTCTTCTGTGTCTCCAACACAGGTGCAGAGGCCCAAACAGCTGAGCCATCTTCCACTGCTTTCCCAGGCCATAGCAGAGAGCTAGATCAGAAGAGCAGCAGCTGGGATTTGATCCAGTGATACAATGCTGCAAGTGGGTTTAGCCTACTGCACCACAGCACCAGACCCCCAAATTTTTTAAATGTTATCAAACGGAATATTACTTAGATTGTAGTTAGATTTATGACATACTTTTTTATCTAGGTAAGTACAAGTGATCTTAAACTACATGAAATGGATTAATTAGCAAGTCAACATGCATTTTAGAGGAAGAAGGGACTAAGTGGCATCAAGTACATCAATTTAGATGGCACCACTGACCTAACAGTGGCTCCACCCAACAGAAAGTCAAGAAACTTACAAGTTCAAAATGTATTTTATTCAGTTACTTTCATTCTCCCCAATGAGAGAGCCAACAAAAAGGTTTTTTAAACCCCTACTTCTCTTCTCTGACTCCTGTCCTACTAGCTAATATTGGGGAAAACATTACTAAAAGCACAAATACTTACATAAGCACTGCCCCCCCCATTTCTAAGCAAGAAAAGCGTATTTAGCTGAACTTTCTGCAACAGAGTAACAAACTGTGCAAGTATTGAAAAGCAAATAATATGAACAAAAATTAACGAGATGAGGACAAACAGTGGTGAAAGTTACCCTTGCTTTTCAGTACTGTAACATACATTAGCAATTACCTTTTTTTTAAAGATTTTTTATTTATTTGAAACACAGAGTTACAAAGAGATGTAGAGACAGGGAGAGAGATCTTCCATCTGCTGGTTAACTCCCCAGATGGCAGCAACGGCCAAAGCTGTGCCAATTCGAAGCCAGGAGCTTCTTCCAAGTCTCCCATGCGGGTGCCGGGGCCCAAAGACTTGGGCCATCTTCTACTGCTTTCCCAGGCCACAGCAGAGAGCTGGATCAGAAGAGGAGCAGCCAGGACTAGAACCGGCGCCCATATGGGATGCCGGCGCTTCAGGCTAAGAGCATTAACCCGCTGAGCCACAGCGCCGGCCCCAGCAATTTCCTTTTTTCAGATTTATTATTTACAGGACTATCGCTGTAACATAGCAGATAAAGCTGCCATCTGCAGTGCCGGCATCCCATATGGGCACCGGTCAGAGTCCTGGTTGTTCCACTTCTGATCCAGCTCTCTGCTGTGGCCTGGGAAAGCAGTAGAAGACATGGACCCCTGCACCCATGTGGGAGACCAGAAAGAAGCTCCTGGCTCCTGACTTCAGATCAGAGTAGCTCCAGCGATTGGGGTCACTTGAGGCATGAACCAAAGGATGGAAGACCTCTCTCTGCCTCTCCTTCTCTCTCTGTGTTACTATTTCTTTCAAGTAAATAATAAAATAAATATTTAAAGAAAATGTATTACTTACATGAAAGGCAAAGGTACAGGGGGAGGAAGGCAGCGGGGCCAGAGCAGGGAAAGAGAATGGGTGAGAAATAATCTTCCATTTGCTGATTCACTTCCCAAATGGTTGCAGAAGTAAAGAACCTGGAACTCCATCTGGATCTCGCACATGGGTGCAGCGGTTCAAGCACTACAGCCATCGTTTGCTGCCTTCCCAGATGCATTAAAAGGGAGCTGTATCAGAAGTAGAGCAGCTGGGACTCAAACTGCCTGGAATGCAGGCATCATAAGAAGCAGCTTAATCCACCTACCACTCATCAGCCTTTTTATTTTTTACTTTTGACAGGTAGAGGTAGAGTTAGACAGTGAGAGGGAGAGACAGAAAGAAAGGTCTTCCTTCCGTTGGTTCACTCCCAAAATGACCACTACGGCTGGCGCTGCGCTGATCCAAAGCCAAGAGCCAGGTGTTTCCTCCTGGTCTCCCATGGGGTGAAGGGCCCAAGCACTTGGGCCATCCTCCACTGCACTCCGTGGCCACAGCAGAGAGCTGGACTGGAAGAGGAGCAACCAGGACTAGAACTGGTGCCCATATGGGATGCCAGCACCGCAGGCAGAGGATTAACCAAGTGAGCCATGGCGCCAGCCCCCAGCATTTTTTAAATATTTATTTTATTTATAAGATCGACAGAAAAGGAAAGACAGAAGCAAAGTCATTCATTCCCCAAATGGCCACAGTGGAGCAGGCTGAACCAGAACCAAGCCAGGAGCCAGATCTCCAACTGAGTTTCCCATGTAGGTGGCAAGGCCTCAAGCACTTGGGTCATTTCCATTGCTTCTCCAAAAGCATCAGCAGGAAACCGAATCACAGGCAGAGCAGCTAGGACCTGAACCATTGCTCCAGTGTAAAATTCAGGTATCAAGAGCGGCAGTTTAACCTGCTGCGCCACACACTGACCCCTATTTAGCCAATTTTCTGTGTGTAACTGCAAGTTACTAAAAAAAACCAGGATGCTACTCTTCGTTCTGGAAAAGCAGTTCTCAATAGTAAAACACAATCCATTTTTTTCTTTTCTTAAAAGTTCACCCTAGCACAGCACACTTTCTCAACAACAGCTTCACTGTCTCATTCAGGAGAGACTAGCCCACTAATGCAAAGACAGGTTCCAGGGTTTCCAAGTCAACTGCTGCCTGTAGTATTTACAAGCCTATCATCTGATTATTTTCTACCCTAAACATCACAGATGAATCATCTTTTTTTTTTTTTTAAGATTTATTTGAAAGGCAGAGTTACAAAGAGACAGGGACACAGAGGGGAAAAAAAGTCTTCCATCCGCTAGTTCTCTCCAGATGGCTGCAACAGCTGAAGCTGTCCTCATCCGGAGTCAAGAGCTTCTTTCAGGTCTCCCACATGGGGGCAGGGTTCCAAGGACTTAGGCCTTCTAACACTGCTTTCCCAGGCCAAATCCAAGAGCTCGATTGGGAGTGGAACAACTGGGACTCGAACAATCACCCACATGGGATACTGACAATGCAGGCAGCAGTTTTACCCGCTATGCCACAGTGCTACCACTTATAGATAAATCCTATAATCTTTCTCTATGTCACTTTGCCTTTCACATAAATAAAATTGGCTTTAAAAATACGGTGATTAAGAACACAATCAATGCATGCCTGTATAAAAACAGATAACAGGTAACGAAACACAGACCACATCTAAATTATTTGCTGTACAGACACCCTGCTTTGGAGTAGACTAGTTACTTTTACTTTTTTACCTTTAGTATGTACAAACTTCCTAAAATCTTTTTAGAAACACCAACCTTTGTTGTATGTCAGATTTTCTTTTTTTCAAATTTTCTTAATACAGAACAAAGTTGCCTCCAAAATATGATTTTATACACTTTGTATGTTTAAACCATTCATAATTATATTCCCTCAGCTACTATGTCACAGAATTCTAGGTGACACACAGGTATCCTACTAATTTACTGTTAAGAGAAATAGACAACCCAAGCTAAAGAAGAGTAAATACTGTATTTGCATTGAAAACCCAAGATACAAACAAAATCCACTGAATACCCACAGATTTTGTGGTTGAAATACTTACGTAATGAACGTCGTCTTTTGTTCTTTAATTTCCTCCTTTTGTTCATTCCAGCTTTAGAAGGAGATTCTTCTTTGGCCTTTGGCTGGCTAGAAACTTTGGAGGAGTTCTGCTGACTGAAGTGTGTGGGTACATGGCGAGCTAGCCCTCCCTGAGAAGCAAAGCTGGCATTGCAGCCGCCAACAACACACTGAATGAGAATAAAAGAGGAAAAGGATGTCAGTGATACTGTGCAGAGCATGAGCAGAATTTCAATGAGATGATACTTAGTAACTCAGAAGTAGACTGGTAGCCCAAAAAGAACTGATTCCAGAAAAGAAGCATGAAAAGATTAACATAGGCCTTTCATTTTAGAAATAGACCAAGTTGCCCAAGAAAATATACATGAGGCAGTGGCACAACAGGAAAATAAAATTCAAGTGTCCTGACTCAACAGTTTGCTGCTCTCTCCACTGTATTGAAAAGAGTGGGATTTTCTTTCCAGAAAAACCTGGCTTTGGATTAATCACTTGTATAACAGGAACAATAATTGCTTTCGAATTAATCACTTCTATAACAAGAACAGTAACTGCTTTTGATAACCTAGCAATTACTTGGATTCCCTGGATTTAAAAAAAAAAGATTATTTATTTGGAATGCAGAAAAAGAGAGAGATCGAAGGAAGGAGGGAGGAAGGGAGGGAGGGAGGGAGGGATACAATGACCATCCAACTGCTACTTCACTCCCCAAATGGCCACAAAGGCCAGGGCTGAACCACGCTGAAGCCAGGAGCCAGGAGTTTCTTCCAAGTCTCCCACTTGGGTGCAGGGGCCCAAGCACTTGGGCCATCTTCCACTACTTTCTGAGGCACATTAGCAGGGAGCTGGATTGAAAGTGGAGCAGCTAGCACTTGAACCTGCACCCCCATATGGGACACTGGCGTTGCAGGCAGTAGCTAAACCCATTACATCAAAACGCCAGCCCCGTACTCCTGGATATTAAAACTATTTTTATCTTAGGGGCCGGCATTATGACGAAGCGGGTTAAGTTGCCACCTGTGATGCCGGATCCCATGAGCACTGGTTTGAGATGTGGCTGCTCCACTTCCAATCCAACTTCCTATTAATGTGCCTCGGGAAACAGCATAAGATACCTTAAGTATTGGGCCCCTGCCACCCATATGGAAAACCTGGATGGAGTTTCAGGCTTCTGGCTTCAGCGTGGCCTAGCCCTGACCTTTGTAGCAATTTGGGGAATGAAATCAACAGATGGAAGATATCTCACACCTTCTCACTGTCTCTCCCTCTCTTTTTCAAATAAATAAATCTTGAAAAAACATTTTTTAAATCCTAAGACACACAGATAACATCCTACTTCAAAACCTTCACTACCTCCCTACCCTTCTACACTGTTGTAACAGGTAAGAAGCAGTCCAGTAATAACTTTTAAAGAATTTTCTTACAGGGGTTGATGTAGTGACACAGTGGTGAAGCCATGGGATACGCACATCCCATACTGGAGTGCTGGTTGAAGTCCCAGCTGCTCCAGTTCTGATCCAGCTTTCTGCTAATGCACCTGGGAAAGCAAGACATAATGGCCCATATGCAAGAGTCCTTGTCTCCCCTATGGTGTTCCATGCTCCTTGCTTCAGTCTGGCTGTTGCAGGCATTTTTGGAACAAACCACAGATAGAAGATAACTCTGTCTTGCATTTCAAATAACTAAGTCTTTAAAAAAAAATTCTTACAAACAAGTTAAAACTAGGGGTCAGCATTGTGGCAAAGCAAGTAAAATCAGTGCCTGCAATGCCAGCATCCCATATGGGTGCTGCTCACGTCCTTGCTGTTCCACTTCAGATTCAGCTCCCTACTAATGGCCTAGGAAAAACAGCAAAGATGGCCCCAGGGCTTAGGTACTTGCCACCCATGTGGAGGCCCAGAGGAGGTTCCTGGCTCCAGTCTGGCCCAGCCTATCACTGCAGTTATCTGTAGGTGAACAAGCAGAACGATCTCTGTCTCTCTCTCTCTCTCTGACACTGACTTTCAGATAAACAAATAAATCTTTAAAAAAAAAAAAAAAAAGGAAAGCATGTAAAAACTATTAAAGCGGGCGGCACCGCGGCTCACTGGGCTAATCCTCTGCCTGCAGCGCCAGCACCCTGGGGTCTAACGCCGGATTCTGTCCAGGTTGCTCCTCTTCCAGTCCAGCTCTCTGCTATGGCCTGGGAAGGCAGTGGAGGATGATGGCCCAAGTGCTTGGGCCCTTCACCCACAGGGAGACCAGGAGGTCTCCTGGCTCGTGGTTTTGGATCGGCACAGGGCGCCGGCCATGGTGGCCATTTGGGGGGTGAACCAACAGAAGAAAGACCTTTCTCTCTCTCACTAACTCTGTCAAAAAAAAGAAAAAAAAATTATTAAAGCCAGCAACCCTCCTAGTGAAAGCATTAGCCTCAAGCAGCCCTCCACCAGTTCCTTTAAATACTGTTCCTTTAGCCTCTGATACCTGCAAGACTGAGCAATCAAAAGGCTAACTACCTAAATCACAAGGCAGATCTGCCACTCAAACAACAAATGTACAACATTCAGATGTTACAAGAAATATGAAAGAAATGCTAAGGGGGCGGGGGGATGGGGGGGGGGGGGGCGCGTGCTGCAGCACAACAGGTTAAGTTGTAGTTTGCAGTGCCTGCATCCCATATGGGCACTAGTTCGAGTCCCAGCTGCTCTACTTCCAATCCAGCTCTCTGCTATGGCCTGAGAAAGCAGTACAAGATGGTCCAAGTCCTTGGGCCCCTGTACCTGCATGGGAGACCCGGAAAAACCTCCAAGCTTCTGGTTTCATATCAGCCCAGCTCTGGCCATTGTGGCCACTTTTGGGAGTGAAGCAGTGGATCCAAGACCTCTCTTTCTGCCTCTGCCTCTCTGTAACTGCCTTTGAAATAAATAAATATTAAACAAAAAAAAAATTCTACTAAGTGTGGCATGGTACATTCATGGTTTTGAAGTACACTTCTGTAATAAGCAATTTAAATTTCTATTTACAATCTGATACATAGGATGTTTTTAGTGGCTAAATTAAGTATGTTTGGGATAAGTTGGGTGTCTGAATCTAATTCTTCAACTGCAACATTTGTGTAATCTTGACAAACTGCTCAACATTTGAGGAGTATTTTCAGTACAGGAGTTTTAATGGTTTGCTTCTGCCACATACAATATATTTAGCTGATGAATCCATGAAGCTATTTTGAGTCTATGAAACAAGACCAGTCTGATAAGAAACATATACCATATTTGGAAAATTCATTATCAAAAAAGTATGTTCCAGCTTTATTAATTTTGATGACACTGAAAAATATTGGACTATATCAAATATACTTAAATTATTCATCCTTTTCCTTTTAATTTTATATTCATCTGGCCCAGGAAAACTTAAAATATGTGGTTTGTATATATTTCTATTAGATAATCGTATTATCGAATAACCCATACAGGGGACCAACACTGTGGACCAGCAACACTACTGGGGATAGCAGTTGAGTCCTGACTGCTCTGTTTCTGATCCAGAGCCCTGCTAATGTGCCTGGGAAAGCTGTTAAAGATGGCCCACGTAGTTGGGTCTTCGCCACCCACTTGAGAGATCCTCATGGAGCTCATCTCCTGGCTTGGCCTAACCTATCCTCAGCTACTGCAGTCATTTAGGGACTGAGACAGCAGATAGAAGGTCAGTCTCTCCCTCTCTTTCTCTCTCTCTCTTTCTCTCTCTCTCAAGTAAATAAAAAATCTCACCCCACCCCCACCAAAAAAAAAAAAAAAAAGCCACACAAAACACAATACTTACCTTTCACACCTTAAAATTTTGAAATTATCATCCCTGTATTTCCTAACATCTTTTTCTAAAATCATAGATTAAATCAACATCTATTATAGCTGATGTGTCAGTTACTTATGGGAATACAAACTACAATTAAGACTGTACTTCTGGGGCCAGCGCCGTGGCACAGCAGGTAAAGCTGGTCCTCCTACAGTGCCATAATCCCATATGGACACCAGTTCAAGTCCCGGCTGCTCTACTTCCAATCTAGCTTTCTGCTATGGTCTGGAAAAGCAGCACAACATGAACCAAGTCCTTGGGCCCCTGCACACACATGGAAGACCCAGAAGAAGATGCAGGATCCAGGCTCCTCACTTCGGATCAGCCCAGCTCTGGGCACTTCAGCCATTTGGGGAGTGAAACAGCAGATCAAAGATATTTCTCTCTCTATCTCTTACTCTTTCAAACAAATAAGTAAATCTTAAAAAAAAAAAAAAAGATGGTACTTCTGCCTCTGTAATCTTGGTCCAGCATTGGTTTATTCAACAAATCTACTGAAAAACACTCTTTCAAATACTGGATTAGCTACTTGATTATAACAAGGCAGGGATTACAGTAATAGTTCAGACCCAAGCCCTTCAGTTTAAATTCAGAGATTTTGTGATCACTCCACCATGGGTTATCCATAAAGAGTCCCAGTAGGTTCTGGAAATCCTTTTTTTCAACTCAACAAGAAAGACCCTAGCAGCATCTAGAACTCAGAGTAATCATCCAAGGTTTATCTTCATCAGTGAAGACTTCACAGACAAAAATCAATAATGGGAAAAGAGAACTGCTTCATCTCAGATTTTGGTCATTCATCAAGCAAGAATCATAAATTTTTAAAGTTAAGAATAAAAAACAATTTAGAATGAGAATGTCCTTTTAAAAGAAACAGAATGGGGGCCAGCATCATGGTATTACAGTTGCATCCCATATGGGAACCAGTTTACGTCCCAGCACTCAGTAATTTCACTGTTCAAATATTCATTTTATATTTTCACTCACACATATAACAATGAACAACGGAACACAACTCATGGTATTCTGATGAAAAAACAACTTGTTTCAACCATTAAGAACCGTAACACACTGAACAGACTACTTTATATGTTCTACCTCTCAAATCCACTAAAACCCTGCTGCTGCAATGGTTAAGCAGTTGTCCTGAAATCTGAAAGGTGGAATGAAAGGGAGTTATCAGATTTGTTGGAATGAAGCAGCATTAAGACTGTCTTTGTGGTATGAACACTGTCGTATTCAAAATTATATTAAGTGATGTGATGACCTACAGGGGATACTGGAACACAGAGTAAAAAGTACCCATTTCACAGATGTGGTATCAGCAGGTAGTCTAAGGGAA